GCCAGTACGGCTACTATCAGTACATCGGGGCTAAGGTTAGGCTCAAGGTGGAAGAAATGAAGCAATATCTCGATCAAGCCAAATGCCTGTAAGAAATTGACCCGTGCAGGGATCGAACCTGTGCGGGTCTGCCTCCTCTCAATGTGTCTCATTCAGATTTGCCGATAGCCCAGAGAAATACGATGAGCTGCTGGAAGTCATCGCCAGTAGGAGGACCACTGTACGTAGCTTTATAAGGCATGCTCCCTCAGGCATGTCTAAGCGGACACGGCCTCGATCGCCGTCATCATCACCATCACCACCCCAGCCCACAGCTGCTGCTACGACCAACGTCGCCGCCGCCGCTGCTGCTGCTGCTGCGGCCGCCTCCTCCTCCCTCCCTGCTACTACTACTATAGCTGGTGGTAGTGGCCTAGGGGCCTTGGTCGGGCAGTTACAGCAACTGAATAACACCACAGGGGGGCAGGCGACGTCAGGAGGGGGTGCCAGCGTACAGATGCTACAAGCACTGCAAGGCCTTATGCAACACCCGCCACCACCGCAGACCCCTGCACAGCCTCAACCAACCCCTATGGAGATCGCCAGGCAGGAGGATGACTTATCTGAGCTGTAGGGCAAGCTGATGGCGTATCTTAGCTAACTGTCTTTGGCCAGGGACAACCTCGATGTGGGAGCTCTGATCGATCGGCTGTTGAAGGTCTTTGAAGGACAGGGAGCAGCCAAGTCAATGGTGAGAGGGCTGGGTGAGGTAGACCTGTGGTACGTCTGGGGTAGGTACTGTGTTTCCTGCAACTATGTCGGCTATCGAACCATCCAGCCGCTAGTTGGCTGTTTGAGGAGGCTGAGAGGTTGAGAGAGGCAGAGATGAAGAGGCTAAAGGAAACAGAGGAAAAGGAAGCGGTGGGTTTTAGAAATGCTGCATCCGGGGATCGAACGGGGGTCTGTTCGATCAGTTCGCAGCAGTAAGCGCCGCAGCGCGCGCTACGGCTGACGTAGTCGGCCCCCCGGGGCCACCGATCTGTCTCGATCGTGCGGCGACTATGGCGTTCTTGACTGCTGGTAGGTTTGCTTGGGGTAGGTTTGCTTACTATTCCATTATCAGTTCTTCCCACCCTACCGAGCAACGTTTATGCTGTAAGCAAAAGGTCCCGGGTTCGATCCCTGGTGCATGCATATCTTATCATAGGTCTTGAGCTCGGGGGTATATCAAGGTCTTGAGGCCGGTATAGTAAACAGTAACTTTGATGAGGGGATGAGGAGGGTCCTTCAAAACTACGCCATGGCCACTTCAGTGTAAGAGGGGAGCCCGTCTGTAGTCTCCACTCGCTGCTGGTAGATATCTGGCCCATCGGAAGTCCATGATAAGGGTGCATGGGACGAATGAGTCGGCATTCCCTAGTAAATCCTCTAACACTAGGAGGTTACCAACAACAACAGCAAGGGGTAAGAGAAAGCGAGCAGTCCGTGGGAAGGCAGCTTCGACCACTAGTTCTGAAGAGGTGAGTACATTCTGGTATCCGACGTTTTTAC